GAATCTGGCGCTGCCCCACCGGCGGCTGGTCTGCTATTGCCGCCTGTACGAGATACCCGACGTGAACAAGAAGGAGCGGCCGGGCGTCCACCAGCGCGAGGTGTTCCTCTTCAACGACCTGCTGGTCATCACCAAGATATTCAGCAAGAAGAAGACCTCCGTGACGTACACGTTCCGCAACAGCTTCCCGCTCTGCGGCACGGTGGTGACCCTGCTGGACATGCCCAACTATCCGTTCTGCATCCAGCTGTCGCAGAAGGTCGACGGTAAGATCCTGATCACCTTCAATGCCCGCAACGAGCACGACCGCTGCAAGTTTGCCGAGGATCTCAAGGAGTCCATCAGCGAGATGGACGAAATGGAATCGCTGCGCATCGAGGCAGAGCTGGAGCGCCAGAAGTCGGCGCGCAACCGGGCCCCGGGGAACGCAGAGAACCGCGATAGTGGCGTGGCCGATGTGGAGGTGTGTCCCTGTCCCTATGGCTCCCAGCCAGGCGGCGGCTCCCAGGCAGCCGGCGAGCAGGCAGCTGGCAACTCGGCCGACTCCACGCAGCAGCTGAAGCGCAGTGCGCTCAGCAACAGTCTCCTGGACATGCACGAGCAATGTGAGTTCTCAGACTCAAATTTTGATATGTGAGAGCGTTTGTCTTATTCCGAGTCTCCTTCCAGTTGGCAACGAGAAGCCCCAGCGACGAGGCAGCGTCGGCTCCCTGGACAGCGGCATGAGCATCTCCTTCCAGTCGACCACCACGTCCAGCGCCTCGCGGGAGAATGCGGCGGCCATTGCAGCTGCCGCCAATGCAGCGGCGGCTGCCAAGATGCGTTTCAACATGCCGCCAACGGCGGCGATTGCCACGCCCAACAATGTGTATGCAGCGCCCGGAATGCAGGCGTACACGCATGCCAACTTTGTGCAGCAGTCGCAGGCCGCCTACATGATGCAGCAGCAGCAAATGCTTCAGCAACAGGCACAAATGCAAGCCCAGGCGCAAGCCCAGGCCCAAGCGCAGGCTCAGGCGCAGGCGCTACAGCAGCAGGGAGGCGGAGGAGCAGGAGTAGGAGGAGGAGCCGTGGTCACGGGTCGAATCCCTGGAAGGGAGAGGAAGGCCTCACGCTCCGATGAGAACGCACGGTCGACGGAGGTCTAAGTCATCTACTCATCTACGTATTGTACATTTCCGTTGTTCAGCAAAGCGATAAATATTAAATCTATATAGCATATAGAGTCAAATATCTGTATAATCCGAATCGAAACGAACCGAAAGCCATTTTTTCTGCAACACCTAACAAACAAACATACACACACACCACACACACAGCTTACGAGTATATAGTGAATTTTGAATGTTCCTTCGTTCTCTGCTAATATTAATTGATGTACATAAATTAAACAATTGTCTGTTTCCCGCACTATCTACTTGCTAAAATAAGTTTCTAAAACTAATTGTATATATATACATTCAGCATACACGCATACACGTACGATATACATATACATGTAGCCCCTACGATCTACGATAGCTATTCTCAATATATATATACAAACACGTACACACATATATATAGATATATATATATATATATGTATATATACAAACAAATTGTATAACACTTGACTTCCTCCAAGAACTTGAAACACCAATTTACCCAAGGCAACCTCTAAGCAACATAACCCCCCCCCCCCCCACACACACATTTTTATCTAATCTTCTCTACCAATTAATTACAAATGCGATCTATGAATGTACGATTACTAGTTCTATTAGCACATACTAACATCCCGCCCCGTTGAGTGCGCGGATGATAGTTTTTTTTGCCCCTGCTCCAGCCAATGCTCCACTAGCTCTACCTCACTCACCTGCAAATGCAACTAGTAGCTGCGGCACAGGAACCCACAGCAGCAGCAGCGGCGGCGGCGTTGGGCTGCTCCAGCTGCCCGCCCTGAGTATGCCCAATGCCAGACAAACTCGGATGCTGCAGCGACAGCACCAACCAACGACAATTATTCCCCCCCCCCCATCATTCTGCCAGCTGTCCCCGACATTATGCCCATTCTGGACAAGCTGCAGAATGACCCGAGGGTGGGCAACAGTAGCTATCACACCAAGCTCATCAGCCGCAATGGTGTCCGTATCCAGGCCCGCGACATGGCTACCAGGGATGCCATCATGGCAATCCTGGGCGATGGCGACGGCAACGAGGCGATGACTGGCCACTACACACACCAGCACAAGAGTGACCGTGGGCTACGGATCGTCGTGCGAGATCTACACCACTCCACAAGCACCCAACTAATAAAAAATCAGATGGCCGAATTGGGTTATTATGTTATATTTATTAGAGCCATTAAAGGGAGATCCGATGGACAGCCGCTCGACCAGTTCGAGTTGGAGATAGCCCCCAAGCCGGATGAAAGCCACCACGATGTCCTCCAATTAACCCAGCTGGGCAACCAGTTGGTGACCGTTGAGAGGCAGGCCAAGCCGGTGGACCCAGCCCAGTGCCACAGATGTCAGGCATTCGGGCACACCCGCACCTACTGCAGGCGTTCATTCGTCTGTATGAAGTGTGCGGGTGCCCAAGCGTCCACGGCATGTGCCAAGCCAAGGGCAGACGCCCCTAAATGCGCCAATTGCCAGGGCGCCCACATCAGCGCCTACAAGGGATGTCCGGCATTCAAGGCAGCAAGGGGCCGCCTTCTGTCCCACCGAGTGGCCATGCAGGAGTTGCGTCGCAAGCGCAGCTCGCTTCTGCAGCCATTGCCAGAGCAGCAGCCACCACCAGCAAGAACAACACCAGCACATCCAGGGCGCCGACAGCAGCAGCAACAGCAAGCTCAAACGCCAGCCAATCCCTGGCGCGGACAGCAGCAGCAGGCAGCATGGACGCCACTCATGTCTCCTCTCCTGGGCGACGAACACACACATACACGTATCGATGCACCGTATGCCGATGCTTCGTGTGGAGAGAGCCGGAAACAGCAAGGAACGAGAGAAGGCGCAAAGAGAGAGCGGGTAACGACCTCGTACCAGCGACAGTACGAGAGGGCACTCGAGCAGCCTCTACACGAACAGCAGCCAACACAAGATTCGTGTTCGAGTGCCCGTTCGGGAGCGAGTTCGAACTCGAACCACAGCCATGGCACAAACCCCGCTCGATCGGCCACAGCAGCGGTTCCAAATGCAATGCACACAGCCAATACCACAACCACAAATACAATGATGACATACATCAGCACACAAACAGCGACATCAAACACAAAAACGACAACTACAATTACGTCGGCAGCCAGACGATGCCTGTTAACAGCAATGTTAACAGGCGGACCCCCCCCACCACCGCCGCCAGAGGAACATCAGCAGCAGCAAACACATCAACAACAACAACAACATCAGCCAATAGCAACAAACACAGCCAATACCGATGATATCCCATCCACCTCTGCTGCAGCGGCCCGTTCGCCACTGAAGCGCGTCCGCGCCGAGGTGGATGACGATGACGATGATGACAGTGATGACTCGGATGCTGCAGCGACAGCACCAACCAACGACAATTATTCCCCCCCCCATCATTCTGCCAGCTGTCCCCGACATTATGCCCATTCTGGACAAGCTGCAGAATGACCCGAGGGTGGGCAACAGTAGCTATCACACCAAGCTCATCAGCCGCAATGGTGTCCGTATCCAGGCCCGCGACATGGCTACCAGGGATGCCATCATGGCAATCCTGGGCGATGGCGACGGCAACGAGGCGATGACTGGCCACTACACACACCAGCACAAGAGTGACCGTGGGCTACGGATCGTCGTGCGAGATCTACACCACTCCACAAGCACCCAACTAATAAAAAATCAGATGGCCGAATTGGGTTATTATGTTATATTTATTAGAGCCATTAAAGGGAGATCCGATGGACAGCCGCTCGACCAGTTCGAGTTGGAGATAGCCCCCAAGCCGGATGAAAGCCACCACGATGTCCTCCAATTAACCCAACTGGGCAACCAGTTGGTGACCGTTGAGAGGCAGGCCAAGCCGGTGGACCCAGCCCAGTGCCACAGATGTCAGGCATTCGGGCACACCCGCACCTACTGCAGGCGTTCATTCGTCTGTATGAAGTGTGCGGGTGCCCACGCGTCCACGGCATGTGCCAAGCCAAGGGCAGACGCCCCTAAATGCGCCAATTGCCAGGGCGCCCACATCAGCGCCTACAAGGGATGTCCGGCATTCAAGGCAGCAAGGGGCCGCCTTCTGTCCCACCGAGTGGCCATGCAGGAGTTTGCGTCGCAAGCGCAGCTCGCTTCTGCAGCCATTGCCAGAGCAGCAGCCACCACCAGCAAGAACAACACCAGCACATCCAGGGCGCCGACAGCAGCAGCAACAGCAAGCTCAAACGCCAGCCAATCCCTGGCGCGGACAGCAGCAGCAGGCAGCATGGACGCCACTCAATGTCTCCTCTCCTGGGCGACGAAGAGGACAACAACATCAGCAGAAGCAGAAGCAGCAGCAGCCAATACATACAAAAAAACAGACGCCTGCTGCCTCTGGCCCACGCACTGGGCGACGACGTCCAGAGCAGCCATTGAGCCGTTCCCAGGCACAACAGCAGCAGCAGCTACAGCAGATGCAGCAGCACCAGCAGCAGCAGCACCAGCACCAGGGAATGCACAAGAAGAACTCGATCCGCAATGGCGGAGATGTCCTCAAGCGCGGACGGGCACAGTCAGCGTAAGTATTGCCTCTCTCAAAGGGAAAACCATGGACACGATTGGGGAGCCTCTTCTTTATGGGATTACCCAAAGATATAAGTCTCGTTTGGAGGCATTGAGTGTCTTGAAAGGGAATCGGGAACAGATTAATAGAATAGATACGACCCTTTGGTGATATTTTGGCGATGTCCCTTCCGTTTAAAGACGGAAATTCTGCTGTTAAAAATTCCAGTTTAGATCTCTGTTTGTTTTGCCTCAATCAATCAACAATCAATAGCATAGCATAGTTGTTAGCTCTGTGACAAAGCATAGATACGTATCTACGGAGGAGATTGAAAGCAGTACAGGAGGCAGGTGGCAGCTGGACTAAGAGCTCTATTAAACGCCAGATCCCCTCCTCCATTGCACACTCTGGGCATTCTGGCAATCAAAAGTCGCGCTCTCTGTCGATGCGGGAGCGACGACAGCTGGACTGCAGTCCCATACCACGTAGTCAATCGGGTAAGGAATCACTCTCTCCCCCTGCTTGTGGATCCTTTGCTTAATCCAACTCCTCTGTCTTTTTGCAGGCGCCTCTCCCGTTTCCATTTCGGGATCCACAGCCACCGCTGGCGGAATGGCCTCCCATCCGCATGTGAATCTGCTGCACGCGGCCGAGCCGCATTACTACAATGCCCAGGGAGCCGTCTACTACACCAGCTACCACGGCTCCCCGCACGACCTGAGCTACGCCAGCTCCGCGGACGTCTCGCTGAACGCCTCGTGGGTGAACGCCAGCGGGCACAGCCCCCACACGCCCTACTACTCGGCGGCACAGATCTACATGCGCCCCAAGGGCGGCAGCACCACGCCCACTCCCAGCTGCAGCGGCAGCACGGGCAGCGGCAGCGGCAGTGGCAGCGGCAGCTGCAAGAAGGTTCCGCCGGAGGTGCCCAAGCGCACCTCTTCGATCACGGCACAGCAGCAGAGCCAGCTGCTGCTGCTGCAGCGCCAGACACCGCCGCCCCCGTCGCTGCTGCGGACCAACGGGCTCTGCAAGACGGCGGAGAACGGCAGCCTGACCTCCGTCCAGAGTTCCGGCTCAGACTCGAGCGTCACCTCGGCGGAGCGGAACATGAACAGCGACCTCGGATCGGACCGCAGCAACTCCCCCCACACGTGGAAGCGTGGCACGGCCCTGAACAGCTCCCAGCAGTTCTCCACGCACTCGGCCGACTCGGTATCGGTCTCGGTGCCCAGCGGAGGTGGAGGTGGAGCCGTTGTGGTCTCCGGAGCAGCCATAGCTGCTGCTGGGCCCGGAGCTTATGCCGCACAGATGCAGGCGGCCGTGGCAGCGGCCACAGCGGCGGGCGGAGTACCGCCGACGGACGATCATGCCGTCTCGTCGCACACCAGCGCCGCGCAGTACGAGCAGCACGAACAGCAGCAGCACGAGCAGCAGCAGCTGCAGGCAGCGGCCTCCGCCGCGGGCGTGGCCCAGAACTACAAGATGTCGGAGACCATACGCAAGCGGCAGTACCGCGTGGGCCTCAATCTGTTCAACAAGAAGCCGGAGAAGGGCATCACCTATCTCATCCGCAGGGGCTTCCTCGAGAACACGCCACAGGGCGTGGCTCGTTTCCTGATCACGCGCAAGGGCCTCTCCCGCCAGATGATCGGCGAGTATCTGGGCAATCTGCAGAACCAGTTCAACATGGCCGTGCTCAGCTGCTTCGCCATGGAGCTGGACCTGTCCGGCCGCCAGGTGGACGTGGCCCTGCGCAAGTTCCAGGCCTACTTCCGGATGCCCGGGGAGGCGCAGAAGATTGAGCGGCTGATGGAGATCTTCTCGCAGCGCTACTGCGAGTGCAATGCGGACATTGTGGGGCGCCTAAGATCATCCGATACGGTAGAGTCTCCCCTCCCCTCCCCTCCTTGGAGGTTCGCCTACTAATCCGATTTATATTTGTTTACAGATCTTTGTGCTGGCATTTGCCATCATTATGCTCAATACGATCTGCACACGCCCAATCTGAAGCCGGAAAGGCGCATGCGCGTCGAGGACTTCATCAAGAATCTGCGAGGCATTCGACGATTGCCACGACATTGACAAGGACATGCTTGAGCGGCATCTATGAGCGCGTCAAGTCGGACGAGTTCAAGCCGGGCAGCGACCACGTCACCCAGGTGATGAAGGTGCAGGCCACCATTGTCGGCAAGAAGCCGAATCTGGCGCTGCCCCACCGGCGGCTGGTCTGCTATTGCCGCCTGTACGAGATACCCGACGTGAACAAGAAGGAGCGGCCGGGCGTCCACCAGCGCGATGGTGTTCCTCTTCAACGACCTGCTGGTCATCACCAAGATATTCAGCAAGAAGAAGACCTCCGTGACGTACACGTTCCGCAACAGCTTCCCGCTCTGCGGCACGGTGGTGACCCCTGCTGGACATGCCCAACTATCCGTTCTGCATCCAGCTGTCGCAGAAGGTCGACGGTAAGATCCTGATCACCTTCAATGCCCGCAACGAGCACGACCGCTGCAAGTTTGCCGAGGATCTCAAGGAGTCCATCAGCGAGATGGACGAAAGGAATCGCTGCGCATCGAGGCAGAGCTGGAGCGCCAGAAGTCGGCGCGCAACCGGGCCCCGGGGAACGCAGAGAACCGCGATAGTGGCGTGGCCGATGTGGAGGTGTGTCCCTGTCCCTATGGCTCCCAGCCAGGCGGCGGCTCCCAGGCAGCCGGCGAGCAGGCAGCTGGCAACTCGGCCGACTCCACGCAGCAGCTGAAGCGCAGTGCGCTCAGCAACAGTCTCCTGGACATGCACGAGCAATGTGAGTTCTCAGACTCAATTTGATATGTGAGAGCGTTTGTCTTATTCGAGTCTCCTTCCAGTTGGCAACGAGAAGCCCCAGCGACGAGGCAGCGTCGGCTCCCTGGACAGCGGCATGAGCATCTCCTTCCAGTCGACCACCACGTCCAGCGCCTCGCGGGAGAAATGCGGCGGCATTGCAGCTGCCGCCAATGCAGCGGCGGCTGCCAAGATGCGTTTCAACATGCCGCCAACGGCGGCGATTGCCACGCCCAACAATGTGTATGCAGCGCCCGAATGCAGGCGTACACGCATGCCAACTTTGTGCAGCAGTCGCAGGCCGCCTACATGATGCAAGCAGCAGCAAATGCTTCAGCAACAGGCACACAATGCAAAGCCCAGGCGCAAAGCCCCAGGCCCAAGCGCAGGCTCAGGCGCAGGCGCTACAGCAGCAGGGAGGCGGAGGAGCAGGAGTAGGAGGAGGAGCCGTGGTCAACGGGTCGAATCCCTGGAAGGGAGAGGAAGGCCTCACGCTCCGATGAGAACGCACGGTCGACGGAGGTCTAAGGTCATCTACTCATCTACGTATTGTACATTTCCGTTGTTCAGCAAAGCGATAAATATTAAATCTATATAGCATATAGAGTCAAATATCTGTATAATCCGAATCGAAACGAACCGAAAGCCATTTTTTCTGCAACACCTAACAAACAAACATACACACACACCACACACACAGCTTACGAGTATATAGTGAAATTTGAATGTTCCTTCGTTCTCTGCTAATATTAATTGATGTACATAAATTAAACAATTGTCTGTTTCCCGCACTATCTACTTGCTAAAATAAGTTTCTAAAACTAATTGTATATATATACATTCAGCATACACGCATACACGTACGATATACATATACATGTAGCCCCTACGATCTACGATAGCTATTCTCAATATATATATACAAACACTTACACACATATATATAGATATATATATATATATATGTATATATACAAACAAATTGTATAACACTTGACTTCCTCCAAGAACTTGAAACAACAATTTAACCCAGGCAACCTCTAAGCACATAACGCCCCCCCCCACCCCCCCCCCACCCCCCCCCCCCCAAAAAAACCAACACATTTTTATCTAATCTTCTCTACCAATTAATTACAATCGATCTATGAATGTACGATTACTAGTTCTATTAGCACATACTAACATCCCGCCCCGTTGAGTGCGCGGATGATAGTTTTTTTGGCCCCTGCTCCCAGCCAATGCTCCACTAGCTCTACCTCACTCACCTGCAAATGCAACTAGTAGCTGCGGCACAGGAACCCACAGCAGCAGCAGCGGCGGCGGCGTTGGGCTGCTCCAGCTGCCCGCCCTGAGTATGCCCAATGCCAGACAAAATCGGATGCTGCAGCGACAGCACCAACCAACGACATTATTCCCCCCCCCCCCCCATCATTCTGCCAGCTGTCCCGACATTATGCCCATTCTGGACAAGCTGCAGAATGACCCGAGGGTGGGCAACAGTAGCTATCACACCAAGCTCATCAGCCGCAATGGTGTCCGTATCCAGGCCCGCGACATGGCTACCAGGGATGCCATCATGGCAATCCTGGGCGATGGCGACGGCAACGAGGCGATGACTGGCCACTACACACACCAGCACAAGAGTGACCGTGGGCTACGGATCGTCGTGCGAGATCTACACCACTCCACAAGCACCCAACTAATAAAAAATCAGATGGCCGAATTGGGTTATTATGTTATATTTATTAGAGCCATTAAAGGGAGATCCGATGGACAGCCGCTCGACCAGTTCGAGTTGGAGATAGCCCCCAAGCCGGATGAAAGCCACCACGATGTCCTCCAATTAACCCAGCTGGGCAACCAGTTGGTGACCGTTGAGAGGCAGGCCAAGCCGGTGGACCCAGCCCAGTGCCACAGATGTCAGGCATTCGGGCACACCCGCACCTACTGCAGGCGTTCATTCGTCTGTATGAAGTGTGCGGGTGCCCACGCGTCCACGGCATGTGCCAAGCCAAGGGCAGACGCCCCTAAATGCGCCAATTGCCAGGGCGCCCACATCAGCGCCTACAAGGGATGTCCGGCATTCAAGGCAGCAAGGGGCCGCCTTCTGTCCCACCGAGTGGCCATGCAGGAGTTGCGTCGCAAGCGCAGCTCGCTTCTGCAGCCATTGCCAGAGCAGCAGCCACCACCAGCAAGAACAACACCAGCACATCCAGGGCGCCGACAGCAGCAGCAACAGCAAGCTCAAACGCCAGCCAATCCCTGGCGCGGACAGCAGCAGCAGGCAGCAGTGGACGCCACTCAATGTCTCCTTCTCCTGGGCGACGAAGAGGACAACAACATCAGCAGAAGCAGAAGCAGCAGCAGCCAATCATACAAAAAAACAGACGCCTGCTGCCTCTGGCCCACGCACTGGGCGACGACGTCCAGAGCAGCCATTGAAGCCGTTCCCAGGCACAACAGCAGCAGCAGCTACAGCAGCTGCAACAGCAGCCGCAGCGCGAACAACAACAGCGACTGCAGCAGCAGCAGCTTGCCAACAACCGCTCCCGGCAGAAGATGCAGCCGAAACGCCAATCTTGCGAGGGATCCTGCAGCCAGGCACTGTTGGAGAATACGCAGAGGATGACGCGATTGGAAAAGAGGCTGGAAGCGATGATGTCACTACTCACCTCGCTCATCAATCCCAGGCAGTGACGGCAACTCCAGCAGTTCCAGTGACATCGGAAAATCCACCAACAATGGCAGCAGCAGCAGTGGTTGCCCCAGCTCCACAGCCACCACAAAAAACGTCAGGGCCAATGCCAGCCGCCATGATGGCATCCCTGGTAGCCATGTCGCGGGCCTGGATACGGACACCATTGCGGCTGATGAGCTTGGTGTGATAGCTACTGTTGCCCACCCTCGGTCATTCTGCAGCTTGTCCAGAATGGGCATAATGTCGGGGACAGCTGGCAGAATGATGGGGGGGGGAATAATTGTCGTTGGTTGGTGCTGTCGCTGCAGCATCCGAGTCATCACTGTCATCATCGTCATCGTCATCCACTCGGCGCGGACGCGCTTCAGTGGCGAACGGGCCGCTGCAGCAGAGGTGGATGGGATATCATCGGTATTGGCTGTGTTTGTTGCTATTGGCTGATGTTGTTGTTGTTGTTGATGTGTTTGCTGCTGCTGATGTTCCTCTGGCGGCGGTGGTGGGGGGGGGTCCGCCTGTTAACATTGCTGTTAACAGGCATCGTCTGGCTGCCGACGTAATTGTAGTTGTCGTTTTTGTGTTTGATGTCGCTGTTTGTGTGCTGATGTATGTCATCATTGTATTTGTGGTTGTGGTATTGGCTGTGTGCATTGCATTTGGAACCGCTGCTGTGGCCGATCGAGCGGGGTTTGTGCCATGGCTGTGGTTCGAGTTCGAACTCGCTCCCGAACGGGCACTCGAGCACGAATCTTGTGTTGGCTGCTGTTCGTGTAGAGGCTGCTCGAGTGCCCTCTCGTACTGTCGCTGGTACGAGGTCGTTACCCGCTCTCTCTTTGCGCCTTCTCTCGTTCCTTGCTGTTTCCGGGCTCTCTCCACACGAAGCAATCGGCATACGGTGCATCGATACGTGTATGTGTGTGTTGGAGTGTGGGAAGCGGAATTATTGGCGCGCTCGGTACCGCTAGGCTTGGCTTGGCTTGGCATAGCGGTGCTTGACATTGCGGTGCTTTGGCTGACGGCCGCTGGCCGCTGCCGACGCCGCCAATGCCTCAAGCCGGCGACTACCGCTGCTGGCTGCTGCTGATGTTCTGCTGCTTCTGCTGCCGCTGGCGTTCCTGGGTATGGACCGCCTCAACCCAATCGCCGATCTGGAACTGCTCCTGGCTGGTGAGATTGGGAATGGCCGCCCAGCTGAGGGCGCAGCGCAGGTCGGGGATGGGGGCTTGTGGCCGGAGTGGCCGGAGTGGCCGTGATGGTGGTGTCGGTATTTGTGGTCCTCACATACACGGTAATGGTGGCTGGAGCCGGTCCAGGAATTGGAGGAAGTGCCTCCAACCAGGTGGCGAGTCGGTGGATTGGCGTCTCAGTATCGCTGCGTCTGCCACGGCGCCGGTGGCTGCGCTGTCGGCGCTGGCTTCGCCGTCGGCGGCGCTGTCGGAGCTTGGCAGTGGAAATGGGCTGATTTGGGGCGATCCCTGGCTGTGACGACCGTG